TTATTTCATATGTTCAATTCGATAATCCATAATTATTTCAGATTACTCGAACACTCATATAGCAGAGCAATAAAACCGTGGCTACAGTTGGAATGGATTTTTTCTCTGACTGAAAACGGAAAAGAAACATATACCGCTCAAAAGATTATGCTGGATTTCATTTACAACGTAAAATTCAAATTCAAGACATTATTATTAATATTTTTATATAATTTAGTATTTTTGTAATAAGAATAGATTTTTCATGTAGGAATATAATCTGCATTTTTCTTACAAATTATTTCAATAATAATGTCATTTTAGTAATAATTCAGTAATTTCATTTTAATAATAGTACTGTCCACATTATATACATGTGAATGTGCTTTTTAATGTAGATATCACCAGGAAAGGCAGCAAACCGTACTGCTTCACAATATAACAATAATTACAATGTAACAGACCATTTCCAAGAGATAAAATCTATTTTTAAGAATTATTGGGATTATGTGGCACGAGATGATGTTACGAAATCCTGTGCAGTGAGCGAAGAGAACTTCTTAGACGATCTTTCAAGTTTTTTTTCTGCTGTAATTTGATTTATTATATAAAAACGTCTGTTATATAAATAAATTTGTATTACAATTAATTCATATTTTGCAGATTGTAAATACTGTTACGGAAATGACATCCTTTACTGTGCTTATGCTGGCAACACATATAGATGTACAAGTTAGTAAAATTATTACAGCACAATAAGCACATTGTATATACAGAAACATATTTACAGCTGCGAGCTGTAAAAAGAAAACAATTTAAGACGATAAAAATTTTTCATTTGTATTGTATTTTATATTCTGGAAGAGTAACTCTTTCTCTCTCTCTCTTTCTCTCTATCTATCTATCTATCTATCTATCTTCTAATAATCGGTTGTTTAGCTTATTGTTTAAATTTATTGTTTAACTTTAACTCTTGAAAAATATTTAATTTTTTATATTTTAGATTTGTGTTTTCGTTTTATTTCCTAGGAAAAACTGCGACAGGAAATATCAGCCACATTTAATAATGATAAGGTTGATGCCCAACGACTCTTTGGCATGCAATATTTTCATATGGTGTTTCAAGAAACTTTAAGATTGTTTCCTATATCACCTACCATTATGCGTCAACTTACAGGAGATATAGAACTTGGTATTTTTATAACACATACATAGTTTATTGAGTCAATGGGCGAAATTAATGTAAATTAATAGATTAATGTAATAATATTTCATCAAGTTATGAAAAAGAGCTTTATCGATTCCAGAATCGTGTACTTTGCCGGAGGGATGTTACATTATGATTCCAATATTTACCATTCATCGTAATCCTGCGTACTGGCCTAAGCCGTTGGAATTTATTCCTGAACGATTTTCGGCCGAAAATTCGTCAAGTCGGTTTCGTTATACATATATTCCGTTTGGTACAGGCCTCAGGGATTGCATAGGTGAATATTTTAATATAAACCACTTATTTTAAGAATAATGGAACTTTGGAAAATCTTGTATCTATCATGTCACGTTACGTATAATTTAATTTCTATTGAAGTTTATTTTTTTCATAATGCTTTCCATGATTAGATTTATATCATTTTCACATTAAACAAGTGAAATAAAAAAAGTTTCTATAATATGCACATTTAACATTGTTAAATATTAAGACTAAGTTGTCTTAGTTATTGATTTATTAATATTTTATTTTTTCTACATATTTACATTATTTATTTTTAGGTCAGAGATATATACTTTTATCCGTGGCGACGATAGTTGTAAATCTGATCCGACGATTTCGATTTCTGACGACTGGCAGCGTAGATGACATTAAAGTGACAGCCGACTTCTTGTTTCGAGCTCGAGATGTCAAAATGTCTATATCTCGTGTGAGTTATTAATAACAGTGATTTTTACAATAATTAATAACATTTTAATTAATTAATATGAATTTTAATAATTATAACAATTTATTATTTTAATTTTTGTGAGTCGATCTCACATATGTTCACAAGTACTATAAATATACACTATATAGTATGAATTATTTTTATACTATAGTATATCTCTACTTGAAAAGAAACATGTGAACATTTCTTTTCAAGTGTACAACAAAGAATAACTTCGAAATAAATTAATTCTATCAATGTTTACTTTTTCATTTTAATCTGTTATACTTATTGTTAGTCTGTGATGAAATAATTTTTAAAAAAACAGTTAGCTTATCATTCTTTGAAAATAGTGTCAAAATTATAATTTGAAATTGTTACAAAATTTTTAATAACTGTCATTTTTTGTTATTGCAAGAGAATATTATATATGCTATCACACATATGTCATTGAGAAGTTTTATAATTTAATTTTTACAGCTTTTAGCTATAATAATACCTCAATAGCAATGCTAAAATAATTTTTCACATTTATGTACTGTAATAAATTAAATAAAAATAAAAAGTTGCATTGAATATTGCAACAATATTGATACAAACTTTTGAAATTTTTTACTTTTTTCAGAAATGCCTTCTTAAGTTTTAAATCAATTAAAATATCATATAATAACTCTTTGTGTATAATTGTAATAAAACATTTTAATAATCTAAATGTATATTGAATTTAGAAAACATGTAAATGTTTAATAAATACGAAAAAAAGTTTTACAATTTAATAACAAGTTATGCAACCAAGAGTAAACAGTCAATTTAAAGATTCCAAATTTCTTGTAATCTATAAATGGATTTTATCAATTTTAATTCTGTGATAAAGAAATATTTATCATGTGATGTAATCTGGAGCATTGTTGTACATAAACCTTGCATTTTTTATCCCTTTTAAATGAACATGCAATTTTGATTGCAAAAGTAAATTACTCGTGCAATTACGATAGCGTAAAGTGTACATCAGGTAGAAAGCGCATCTTCTTTCACGTCACGTCCACGTCATAACGATAATTTGAACGCTTGCTGAGGCGACTCGGCGCGTAGTAGTCTAGTCATATTTTCCTCATTACGCGAAACTCGCGACTGAGTTTAAATTCAAAGGACACTCGAGTGGATCAGGCGACGCCAAGTAGAAAAGCCGAATCGACGCGAACGATATCGGTGACTTCACCAAAGTGGTTAAGGAATAAAAAGGGAACGAACGAGAGCAAGCGAGTTGAAGAGGTCATCGCCAACTTACATTGAAGAGAACATTTCCTCTTCATCGATTTTGAAGATTTTAAATTCTGCGGTTCTTTCTCAAATAGAAAGGGATGTATTTCGATTTTATATATCATGACTGGAGAATTAAAAGTTTATTGATGATCAAAAAATATATTGGACAATCTAAATAACTCTGATGTAATGCAATACGTTGTCGTTAAACAGTATAAATTCTCTTTGCAATTTTAACGATAATTATGTATTCTTTATGCATGGAATACAAAAGTCAAGGATACGTTACTTATCGCGCAATAAGTTTTCAGTATTTCCATAGCGTTTCATGAAAATTAAATAAATTGAGTTGAATTTGAAGAAGTGCAAAATACATTCGTATATTTGTAATAAAACACATTCGTAGTCATTGAATTAATTAACGGTAAACTGAACTCTGACTTAAAAAAGAAAATTGTTAGTCTCTTACAATGAATATGAATGTGACAAATAAATATTAATTTAAAACATAATTGGAGCGACTGTAATAGCTCTGAAAAACAAACAAATAAATTTAAATGATTATTTTGCATCGTAAAACTGACACAATCGGCAACTTTAGAAATGTAACGCAAACTTTTTTTACAAATCTTTGTTCGCTCATTCTTGACTGAGCTCTCGACATTACTGGAAGAGGATTTTGAAAATGCTTCAACGCGCATGAAACATTTGTTCGACAAGGTTGAAGAGGCGGGTACAAGATAAGAGGGAAAAATTATGTACAGCGCGACCGATGTGACACTGCATCCATACGCATCGCTATAACTTAGAGCAAAAGCCAGTAGTTAGCAGCAGCAGCAGCAGCAGTATTTCCCTGTCACTGGCAGTGACCCATATGCTATGTCCATAAAGGGTATACGTGTATATAAAGCCGCCATGAGCACTGGACGCGTCGGACACGTGTGCCGGCGCAGATGCGTTCTCCCGAATCATGCGGACGTCCAATACCCGCGGATACTATCGAACGAGAAAGCCAAACGCATCGCAAATGACGAAAGGCTGATGGGTTGGATTACTGTTACCAGATTATGCCCGTTTCCCACGAGCATTCGTGTTATCACACGTGCATGCTGCACTATCGTTGATATCGACGTATGTACCCGCGTTTACGAATTGCAATCTACAATTAATTTGTACGCCACAAGATATCGCTATTGTGTGAAAAGCGCGTCGTTACTACAAAGCGATTCATCGCGATATTTCGCAAAATAAACAAAAAGTTATGTGAGGATTTTTCGCAAGGCGAATTACATATTATTTGTCCATCGCCGCATTTTCCGTCGTCGTTTGCATTTTTCGTGTGGCCATTATTTTATTATTACAAAGCTATAAAGCAAGCGAGTAAGCTTCCGTGAGGGACGTCGTTCCTCACGCGGTTGCTCGTTATGCTGACGCTGGGAAAGGTAGTCTCGCGGAAATCGGACATAGTCCGCGCGCGTTCGAGCCGCGCAATCGAAAGTGGTGACGCATTGAATCCCGAGTTTTCGATGAAAGCATTAATAACAAGCTCTCGTGCACATCAAAGCATTCGACAATAGGTATTTTTCAACGGCAAATGGGCGGTCATCGGAACCAGATAATTTATCTATCTGCCGCATCCGCATCGTATTGACATCAAAAAAACAATTTTCGCGGCAAATGAGTTTTCGATGGATGCGAAATGAGAGAGAGCTGGAAAAAAGATACGATTGCGGTATCGCATCGTTTCAGGACCCGTAGAATCGACCGCAATCTGGCATGCGCAATGTAGGGGGTTAGTAGTGCTTGCCATTTTTCACTTCCTGAACACTTTGAATATTTGCGCGAGCGATATCTTAATCTATTACCTTCAGAGGTAAATTAACAGTAAATAATTGATCAACCGATTATGTGTAATTAATTATTAATATTAACTACAAATTAATTATTAATATTAACTACAAATAGTGCTATAAATGGTGCAAAAATAGCAATAATGTTAAATTAGCCTTAAACGAAAATATCCATAATAGCCATTTTCCAATGAATATATGTTTCCGGTTTTACACTTGATTTTAATCAAACCAAATCAATAGGATTTTATGTATTTTCACATCTAAGTCTTGACTCATTAATTAGACGTGAAAATGTTAAAAAAACCATTTATCCTTATAATTTGAGGTTGCGCTTGATATGTGCGATAAACAATGCGTACATATCCCGAGTTCTACCAGTTCGTGACTACATCACGGTCACCGCAAATAAATTGCGAGTCTGTAATTGATTGATTGATCGATCGATCGGTCTTGCAATTTCTAGAACATAATACAGTAAAGTAGTTACAGTTCTGTTTTCTAATCGATATTTTTGTTTTTTTTTGCAATTCAATAAATTTGACATAGTATGAGAAATTAGGAAAACGTTGCAACAATTTTTCATTCCATTGTGTCGCAGACATAAATTATTACATATTTTAAAATGTATGTACGCAATTAATGTACGACAAATAAACAAATTATTTTCTTGACCGTGTTTAAATAAAGATAAGCATTTGTGATAGCTGTAGTTGTAAGTAAATCGACGAAACCGAAAAATATACTCGTTAATTACTGATTTAGTAATCGACAAAATAAATTATTTATAAGGAACCGATGAATTTATAACCTGTTTTATCAATTAATAATATTGATGGAAATAATTAAAATCTTCTTTCTCCGAATACGTTACAAACAAGAAAACCCAGAGAAAATAAAAACCATATTAAACTTGCTAATTACAATTAATGTAAATGTGCATGGTATTTAGTTATATTTTACTTTAACAATGGTTTTTATTTTTAATAATAAAAAAAATATAATATATATTTGAAAATATTTTCAAAAAATTCTCGAGATTAAGTCCATTTTAAAAGAAATTGATGCATTTTTTAATCGACTTCATAAATTTTTCTATTGTGTCTATTTATCCGATCGAAGATGGCAGCACTTTTTAGATTATAATTAAACAACATTTATCTTGTAACTTCAAGTCTATAATTAATTTGCATTGGTTATTTAATTATATTAGCTGTACTAATTTTTATTAATATACGTAACATAAAATTATTTAAAGATTATATTTCTTCATACTTTTATACATATTTCTATATACATAATTAGTCGGTAAAGTTTTTTACAATTTTTTTTTAGTGAGTCAACCGAAACTAAATATTTTAATGTGCTTCTAATAAACTAAAATAAAATATAAATTTATTGCAATTATATTGATAAATATTCGCATTTTGTATTACCAGCATTTAAACCTTCCTGTAGTTGGTAAATGCACAAGGGTATCTGTCTGAAAGAGAACTCTTACCGAGCCTGGGTAAATTTTAGGTAGCAAGTATACATATATACACTGATGGTTCAATTGAAATATATAATAATAATTTAGCTAATCAAGCCATATCTAATTTAATTATTTAATTTTCAACATGTAAAATAACTTTATATGGAATTAACTCTATATAGAAGTATTATTATCTGACATTCACTGTATAAATTATAGCGCTTCGAGTATGGGAAGAGCAACTACTCATGGCAAGGAGTATTTTACTCTTGAAACCATTAGAGTTAACTTTAATTAGGGCTTGTTTTATGAGGAATGGATCAATATAGGTATTAACTTTTTTTTGATGGTACAAATTAATATAAATTCAGTTCTTTGCCTTTCTACCTTTGTTTTCTTTTTTTATGTACGTGATCCTGCTAGCTTAATATAAAGCAATGCCACGTTTCTTTTTCAAAACAGCACAGCGTACAAAATCTTTATTGGTAGTACAAATTAGTATACAATGAGTACTAAAACTGAATAAGTCCTGTTTGATTTTGTTCATTTGGTCCTGCTGGCTTGACGAAGATATATATACAGAACATATTTAATATATAAAAATACACTTAAAGAATATTAAAAGTCATAAAAATAATGCACTTTGTTTTAAATATGAACGTATTATATGAATATCCGTAACTTTTTATTCTGTATTCAGTTACTAAAATAGGTAACATAAATGTACGATAATACGTAATATACCGATAAAATTTACTTGTATCTTACGATTATACTTTAAAATATCATATAAATGATAAGCGTTCTACTTCGAAATAAAGACATACATCTTTGACCAAAATATATAGTTTTATTGTGTATTTCGGTATTGTACACTTGATTTTTTATTTTGATACCAATTATTATATTCCTCTTACATATTCTATTTTGTAATTTACTGATCTAGGAATACCTATATTATTTTATATCGCTTATCATACAAAATTAGTTTTCAAAATTCGTTAAAAAGCCTTTTCTTAAAATAATTATATTTCGACTGCAATTTTTAAGTTATATTACATTATAATATTGCAATGAAAATTATATTATATGATTAATTAACGTATTATACTACATATTTTTAACAAAATAATCAATTAAGATTTGAGTTACATAAAAGTTATTGTAGATATTATAACTTTTGTATACGTTTATAATAATAGGAAAATCAATTAGAATCGTTATAATAGAATGGCAGTATATCGATATTTAAAAAAAAGTAGATAGATAAAAATATGATATTAATAAAATATTATTGTATAATTAATTTTGCTAAAGTAGAACATCTCTTTTTTTCAATGACTCCTTTATCTAACTATTAATTATTTATAGATCATATAAGAATAGACTAGAATAATTTATATTATTCTAAATTATAGGTTTTATAAAGAGATTTTATATCTAACAGGAAATTTTTCCTCAAGAAAAATTCTTTTCTTTTATGGTGAAAATTAATATTATTACGGTGAGGTGAAAGGGAATATGATCTTTCTCTAAACAAGAGTTTGTGATAAAAGTAATAAACTTGCGTTTTTCACAATTTGTCACGGCAATTTGATGACCCGTTATTGGCGAAGAAAAGGAAATGTTATACACTATACTCGCACTCTTCTTAAAATTTGAGAAGAATCGCTACCGTCACTTTTTTCTGAACCTCCGTCAAGAATTCTTTATCAAATCCCCACCAGAAAAGTTCTCTTTTCTCTCCCACTGCAGTAGCCTAGAACAGACTAAACTTCTTTTGCTTCACAAATAAAGGCATAAAAATTATCTTAAGATATAAAATCGATTGTTATATCACTCGTCACGTCGCTCTACATTTATATAAGGTTCGATTTACGTTACTCGCATTATTTTTCTGTTGCACAATACAACTGATGCGTTCTGGCTGTGTTGTTTTGGCCGATAAAAAGTAATAATAATTGTGTAACAAATAGAACTGAAATTTTTTTAACTCTTAAAAAATTTCACATACATCAAAAGGATAAGAAACAGTGAAATATGTGTAAGTATAAGAATGCTATTTAAAAAAACAATATTACTTATTACAAACTTTTGACACGCTTACTGCAAACAGCATTATATATTTAAAACATAGCAAAGAGGATTTCATTAAAAGGATTTATTACAAGAGGATTTTATTATTAATTCTTCAATGCTGATCGAGAATATATATTTATAATAAGGGCTGTATTTTATTTGACATTTGATACACAAAAATTTACATTCAATTGTAATAATCTGATCCATCGAAAATTTTAAATAACGCATGATATAGTTGTAACAACCCATTATGTTCGTGTTTTAAATGTAAAATTTACAGATCTCTTTCAGTATTGATCACACAAAATGTGAACAGTCATGTGTGTGCATAAATGAATGAACTATGGCAAAGATTAAATAATTCATTTTTTATTAAATTAATATGCGTGTATAGAAGGATTACGTAATCAGTAAAATATATTTATTTTTACAGATGTATCTTTGGCAGCAATTGTAGTAATTTTGCTTACGGCATTTATTCTCAAAGTTAATAAGAAAAGATATTATAAACTGAAAAGAAATTTAGAATTTGTTATTTCACTGCCTGGTGCATCTATATTATCATCCTTTATCAACACATTAAAAGTTGCTTGCAATTATAAAGGTAAATTTAAAAAATGTCTTTAAACATAAATTTAAGATAAAACGTAAATTTAAGTTGAGGTTGATTGAACTAATAAATCGAACTATACTTTTGAAATATATTTTTTTTATATGTGTGTACAAATAATTATACATATAATTAAAATATTACATATATATATATATATATATATATATACATATATATTGTTTAATATTTATGTACAAGCACAAAATTAAATATAAAAGTTATCACTATTAATTAAATTTTTGCAACTATTTTCTTAAAAATGTTTTGTAAACGATATTATATGTACAATTTTATTTAGATTTATTAGACTATGTAGAAGAAACTACTAAAAAATATGGAAGTGTTACTCGACTTGTCTTAGGAACCGATATATTTGTATTACTTACGAAACCTGAAGATTATAAGGTAAGTTCATAAAAAGATAATAATCACAACGATAAAATACATTAAATTAAACACGCAGCTCGTGCTTGTGAACGAAAATGGTAACGACAAAAGCTCTGTGACCAAGCTGTGGGATGTATTTCTTGGTGACGGAGTTATCAGAGCTTCAGGTATTCCATTTATGAAAGATGTTCGCTTTGCCCGCTTAGATTTTATATTACATACTTAATTTTATATAACAGTAAATTAAGTATACAATAATAATAATAGGAAATAACATAGCTTTAACTTAATATTGAATTAATGTTTAATCGTTATAACTGGCGCATGCATTTTTTTTCCATATTCAATATGTGCGTTTGATATTGATAGGTACAACTCACAGGGTTCGCCGAAAAATATTACAGCCACTTTTGAATCTTAAAAATTTATCCGAATATGTAACATTTTTCGATAGTTATAGCAATTACTGTGCGGACACTCTAGAGAAACATGTCGATGGTCCAATATTTGATCTTAAACCGTACATAGCGCGATACTCGTTTAATATATTTTTAGGTGAGAATCGTAATACGCACTTAATACAAATTTCTATTATTATTACCGCCTATGCTAAAGCGTGATTAAATTTAAAAAATTGACAAATGTTAATTCACAGTGACAACAGTGGGTATTCAAGGAGCTGCACATAAAGGCGAAGATGACGAGTTATTATATTGGCAGGAAAAGTATGCAATTTTAATAGCACTATTTATCATTGATATTTAAATCGACAATCTATAATTATTCCAGATTGTTAAAAGAATCATTTAAAAGAGTAATAAAACCGTGGCTACAGACGGAGTGGATTTTTTCTCTGACAGAAGGCGGAAAACAAATGAGTGCCGCTCGAAAAATTGTGGAAGATTTTATCTACAGTGTAAATTTTTAATTTTTAGTTTTTTACATAACTGTTTTTTCATATAGATCATTACATTTGTCACATGCGAGGAAATATAATTTGTCTCATTTAATTAGAATAGATACGTTTCTAAGATTTTTAGCTTTTGGCAATGTGATATATGTATAAGCATTTTAAGAAGTATAATAACAAAGCGAAAAATATTATTAGAAGGGTGAAAAAATGCTAAAATTTACGTATTCTAAGGAGATTACTTTAAATTAAATAGCTTTCCAGCTCAGTCGTAAAGTATTTTTTAAATTATATTGCAAATTATTATTTTATATTTTTATATTTTAGTAGAAACGTACTGATGTTTTTTAACAGTATTCCCCTGTAACGAAATTATATTTCACTTACAAATATAATCTACAATAATTTTTTTAATACAATTATTTTAGTAACTGTATTGTCATTTGTGTCCATATTATAAATTGATATGATGCAGATATCGTCACGAGAGACACCAAAGCAGACCGCTTTACAATATAATGCTGAAATGTTCGAAAAGTCAAAACCTATTTTTAACAATTATTCGAATCGTTTAGTACAGCTATATGATGATGTTACGAGCAAATCATGCGAAGTGAGCGACGAGAACTTCTTAGACGACATTAGAAATTTTTTGGTTGCTGTAATGTCATTTTATTATTTAAAGACTTAACATTATGACTTGAGACTATATTATAATTAATTCACGTTTTATAGATTCAAAATACTACTACGGAAGTAGCATCCTTCATTATGCTCATGCTGGGAATGCATACAGAAGTACAAGTTAGTAAAATTATTGAAACACGTTTATATACACTGTTGATCATAAAAACAAACATGAGACAAAATTGTGACAAAAATGTTTCATTTATATTATGTATTCTACAGAAATAATTATTTCTATTTATAATAATCATTTATTCATTTTATTGTTTTTAAGTATATTTAGAGTAATATTATTTTTTTAGATGGTTAATGTATTTATTATTTGTGTATTTTATTTTCTAGGAAAAATTGAGAGAGGAAATATTAGTCACGTTTAATAATGATAAGGTTGATGCTCAACGTCTCCTTAGTATGCGATATTTCCAAATGGTGTTCCAGGAGACACTGAGATTGTTTCCTATAGCACCTGCCCTTTCGCGCGAACTTACTGGAGATATCAAGCTTGGTATTACTTTTATAGCACACCATTTACTGAGAATTTATGGACAAAATTAATGTAAATCTATAGATTAATGTAATACTTTATTAAGTTAAAAAAAAGAGCTTTGCCGATTCCAGAATCATGTACTTTGCCGGAGGGATGTTACATTATGATTCCAATATTTGCCATTCATCGTAATCCTGCGTACTGGCATAAGCCGTTGGAATTTATTCCTGAACGATTTTCGGCCGAAAATTCGTCAAGCCGCCCTCGTTATACATATATTCCATTTGGTACTGGTCTTAGGGATTGTCTAGGTAGATATTCCAATATAAGCCATTTATTTTGAAAATGATTTAAATTACAAAATTTAAAAAATTTGAAACAATCTTGTAACTCCTTATTTATCATATCTCCCGTTATGTATTTAATTTTCATTAAAATTTCTCGACCTTTCTATTTTCTCTCGAGCAATTAGTATTGTGTTTCAAAATTAAAATTATATTATTTTTAGACTTAGCAAGTCAAGTGAAAAAAAATGTGCTACAGAAAATGCTATTCACATTCAACCTTTTGTTGAATATTAAAATCTTTTTCATTCGTTATCCTAGTTGTCGATTTATTAATTTCACTTTTATTTTCCTTACATTTTCGAATTTTAGGTCAGAGATATGCACTCCTATCCGTGGCCGCAATTGTCGTAAATCTGGTGCGACGATTTCGATTTACAACAGTCAGCAACATAGCTGACGTTAAACTAGCAACCGATATTATACTACGAACTCAAGATGCTAGATTGTCTATATCTCGTATATGATTCATTATAATATTAATGATTTATGGTAACTGTAATATTGGCAAACATTAATTATAATAGATTATTATTCAATTTTTTATAGTGCGTTAAAAGTTACAGTTAAGATACTTTCAATAAAGCTAAAATAATGTCGCAAAATGATATAACATTAATGTGCTGTAATAAATTTAATAAAAATAAAAAAATTTACGTTCAATATTGCAATAATATTGGTATGATCTTTGAAATACTTTACTACTTCCCACATATATCTTTTTAGATTTTAATTCTCGAGAATTAAAATGCAACTTAATCACTTTTTGCGTAATTTCAAATAAAACATTTTAATAATTTATATACATATAAAATATATACATATAGAAAAATATAAAATTGTGATTTAATAAACATATAAAAAATATTATGATGTAATTAAATTATAGCTTCAAAGACAGACGACCAATAATTTAGTTTTAAAGATTCTGGATTTATGCTAATATCTAATATATTTTTGAAATTCTATTTTTGCAATACTAGTACATAACAGATCACGTAAACACGTATAACAAGTTACATATCACATAACTCTCTCTTCCGCGTAATCTACTTATTAGAGTCTATTAAGCTAGCACAGCCACTTTAGCACAATCGATTGCAATTTATATATGTATGCGTGTGAGTGTGTATATATGTGTGTGTGTGTGTGTGTGTGTGTGTGTGTGTGTGTGTTTTATGTTTTTTTATTTGTCTAAACTAAACATGTAGTTCTGATTGCAAAAGTTATTCGTGTAATTACAACAGCGTAAAATATATACATATATCAGATAGAAAGTGCATCTTCTTTCATGTCACGTCCATGTCGTAACGATAATTTGAACGCTTGCTGAGGCAACTCGGCGCGTAGAAGTCTAGTCATATTTTCCTCATTACGCGAAACTCACAACTGAGTTTAAATTCAAAGGACACTCGAGTGGATTAAATGATGCCAAGTAGAAAAGCCGAATCGACGCGAACGATATCGACGACTTCACCAAAGTGGTTAAAGAATAAAAAGGGAACGAATGAGAGCAAGCGAATTGATCAAGAGGTCATCGTCAAGTTACATTGAAGGGAACATTTCCTCTTCATTTACTTTAAAGATTTGAAATTTTGTGGTTCTTTTTCAAATAGAAAGGGATAATTTAATATAGAGGGTGTCCCGAAATTCGCGAATCAAAATATTATCGCAAGAAAGTCTTAGAAAAATTAATTAAAAAAGTTATTTATAAATTTTTATTTTATGCAGTAGTTTTTGAGATATACGCGCGTGAAGTGCGCGATCACTAACACTATTAACGCGCTCACGTATTTCCGTTTAACTGTAATTGGCCAAGTTTGAATTCTTATATCTCAAAAACTACTGCATAAAATAAAAATTCATAAATAACTTTTTTAATTTTTCTAAGACCTTCTTGCGATGATATTTTGATTCGGGATACCCTGTATAGTGAATGGAGAATTAACAATTTGTTGTTAATTAAGGAATTAAATTATTTTTGTAACTAATGTAGTACGGTACATCGTTTGATTTTCATATGAGTCCTCTTCTATTTTAACGATAATTGTGTGTCATTCTTTATGCATGGCATGCAAAAGTCAAGGACAAGTTACTATCGTGAAATAAATTTTTAGTATTTTTTTGCCACTGACATGGAAATGTTAAAAATTTAATCAACTAATCTAAATTCGAAAAAGTAGAAAATACTTGACTATTTCCAATGAATTAAAATATAATATAAATTTATTTTAATTACAATTTATGTTGATAAACGTTTGCATTTTATATTTAAGCTTTCCTGTAGTTGGTAAATCCACCAGAATGTGCATTTCAGTCCGACCGAATAAGAGCTTATCGAACTAGGGTAATATACATCTTGAAATCTTAGTAAAAATCACGCAGTGCTAAAAGATCGATTGAAATATAATTTAGTTATTTAAAACATGTCTAATTTAATTTTTGATATACAAAATTGTATTGCTACAATGAAACATTATTATCTGGCATTCAGTGCTTAATATAATCTATATACATTGCCGACATATTGCCTCTAAGGATGCAGGTATATATGTTTCCTAATATTTCATTTGTTGATAATTAAATAATACATGATTCTTTATAATTTCTCTTACTATCACGAATGTATACCTACAGCAGAATCCATTCTTAGATAACACTTCACTTTGAGTTACTTGGAAGCCATTCTTTAGTCATGTGCTACCTTTTAAAGTTAAAGAATTAAATGCGAGTAATATTTAGAATTAAAGAAGAATCAACAAATTTTGCTAGTTCTTTGTGCGTAAATTTGTTAGAAATTTTGAGGGATTTTATATTAAAATGCAACTGATTATGCTACAAGGTTTAGTCGTAATACGTAATACTAGACCTTACGATCGTTTTCTATTTTTATTACTGTTAGTTGACAGTACGTACTTTTTGCGTTCAAAATTAATTAGTGTTAAAAATTGATCAAACAGAACAACGGCACCTAAATGCGTTAATTGTGAGAAAGTTCATGCGCAACCAACAAAGTTCCGCCAGATTACCGATAATCTATTTCCAACTTCATTAATCTCGCAATAGCGACGAACTTATCACAGTTTAGTTAATATCTGGATAGCGAGTACTTTCTCATTTACGATTAATTACTATTAAAAATCCATCAAGGACTTGCTTAATATTTCCCGTGGACATGTGAAAAATTAAAATATAAAATATGAAAGAAAAAGGGAATCGAAAGTCCCCGCTTAATCACGTTTTATGTATTACGCGTCGCATGAAATTCAACCAATGATATTTCGACACATTTTTCCCAAGTGTAAAGTATATGAAGATTAGGGATAAGGTTAGATGTAATCTATAAAAATTTTTCCTGAAAAAATACACGAAGGGAATTTTAAACTAGCCAACGGTTCGTCTAATTTCTTGAATAAATCGAGAAATAAAGCGTCACGCCCAGCGAAAAATTCAGATTTGCCTACTTTATCTGATTACGTATTTCCTTATCCCATTAGAAAAATCGCTACGAATGGACCGAGTTAAAGGAATGTAAAGTGGAATCTTATAACGGAAGCGAGTCTGCATAATGAGAAATAAAAAGCTTCTAGCCGCTGCGAAGAAGCGTTAGGGAAATTTGATTTGCCCTATCTCTTCCTGAGAAAATTGTAAAACGATTTTGAATACACGAGATGTATTGACCGGTCACAATTTTTTTTTTTTAGCGGAATCGTTGCGACCGAATCTTCGACTGGATGACTGGACAACGGCCAGATCTTGATTTCGCTTCGAGGAGTACGGTGAATGCCGCCTCGATTTTACACACCGCAAATTCGCCAAAGCTTTTACTCATGACGGAATAAAAACTGCCGGATTGCAGCCGCCAGAGTGATCAACGGTGGATTTGTAAAAGAAGATTGCGACCCGAGTGACTGAATGCCGCGTAAGTAAAATGTATACATATACGATAAAATGATAATTCTTCCGCGCGTTTGACGACGCGATAAATTCTCGCATGAAATTTAAGGTTTGTCAAGAGCTACGTCGTCGCGCTTGAAGTACGTGGTTCTAGACCGAGCTAGTACCTCGAATCCTTGGAAACAGCCTTGGTATAATAAGAAACTCGAGGCTGAGTAATGTCCAGTTATATTTCTTGGACTTCACGACGGGACCGAAACTCTTTTAACCTATCTCTCTTCTCCTCTCGACTTTCCTCCTTTTTCTCGTGGGGCGACTCGAGTGTTTCGGAACAATCTTATGACGCGCCTTGACGGATTGTTAAACCTTCAGTTTACAGATAATTGTTAATTAAATTATTTGCAATTCTATTAGTCAGATTAGTTTTAATTAGTGTAGTAAATAATGAAACAATTTTTTAATATTAAAAAAAAAATTCTTTCTATTTGTTCAATTATTAAAACGAGATATAATACAAACGTATCTTTGCAATCTCTTTTTTCTGTCAATTTTATAAAAATTTTATGAAAATTCTAAAAATCAGTTCATTAAAATTAAAATTAAACTTTCATTTTCTTTTAAAATACTTGAAATATAATCCTATTTTCTTAGAAGTAAAATAAAAAATATATATACCGTTTTAAATTAAAATGAAAGTAAACTGACTTTACTTTTGATTAGTTAAAAAAAAAACTAGTTCTAATTAGTGTTAAAAAGCTACGGCGCGCTATCTTTTCATACATATAATCTCCAATATTTGCATATTCAAGTAAAAAAAAAAAATAATTCGTCGCACGTGTGTGTGTGTGTGTGTATGAAAAAAAGGAACAGGCAAAATCGTTGGTATCTGATCGTAAGCAGAAATGAATGAAGAAAATATATTAGAGATATTTTCCGTGAAATATATATGTTATATTACGGTATTGCGACGTCGAAGAAGAGATATCGTGTGCGGTACGCCCAGACCATCGCGCGACGGAAGATACCCAAATATCGGCCTCTCGGGACCTCATTTTACAAATGTACGATTGCGTAAAATCCAAAGCTTTTCCCTTCTGTATTTTGGTCTCTTCGGAGAATGCGCAGCGATTGGAAAAATCCATGAAATCTCGTTTATACCTCGAAACCATATATATGACACGCGAAAATAGCAGTACGCATGTAACGTGAATTAATTAAACCAACGTGTCCTCTTTGTATTTGTGTTAATCTGTAATCGACATTCAACATCCTGTTTCAATTTCGATAGACTCTGCGTTTATTTAGCGGCGGCAGTTATACCGCTAATTTCATATATTTTAACTGATAGGTACTCCGGCCAACAAAAACAATCCTTTCCTATTTTTTTCTACTTTATTGCTTGTAAGTTGCCGTAAATTGTGCTGCCCTATTGTGGGATTAATCCCCTTTGTTGTGCTTAGTTCAGGAGTGTCGGGCCTAATTTTCCTCTTTGTTTTAGCAATCCTTTCGTGGCCGTATTAACTCGCACCCAAAGCGACGCTTTGGCAGAACCGCAATACTCTTCGCATTTTCGAGGCTCCCGGCGTAGACCGCGGCGCGTAGAGTCGTGCTGTAATTCAACCAAAGTTCCCTAATTAATCAGGTCCCAATTAGTTCGTGTAACGAAGGTCGGACGGTTATAGCACCGGCGGAACATGCAGTACCGGCACGAGCGGGGTGCGCGAAGCGGAGTAAAAGAAGGAGAAACGTGAGAGAGTAGAACAGAGAG